GAAAAATGTTTAGTATTGGCATACCTTTGACTTCAAATTGACGTGCAAACGTCACAAATGATATGAGAGGGCACTACAGAAAAATTTTTGCAAAGGTGGAGCACGTGGTTCTATGGTTTTGTAAAATTTCTACGTTTAGTTCTACGGTTTTTTTTTCATTTCCGTACAAATAGCTACAACTTTCCTGAACTTTCGTAAAACTTCTACGGTTTCGCGGATGAGTTATCATCGAAGATATTATGAGAAGGTAGAAAAAGGAAGGTAATTATGAAGTCCATAACCATAGAAAATTTTTATTGAAAAGTGGAGCGTACTATTAAGCAAAGAGGTGAGCCGTCTAATCATCAATAATTCGCAAGTTCTACAAGCGAATTAGTGAATGAAATTGTGAACAATAATGTTCACTTTGTTCAAACCCATTCAAATTGACAATTGGTAGCTAAGAATTAAATATCAGGAATCTATTTATTTGTAATCTATTTTGGAGGGTGTTGATCAAGAGCTATATTTTTCTAGTCCTGCAAATCGAAATTAATTCAATTATGTTGCGAAACGAATATGCAAGGTTTTCCCTATCTTGTTAACGCCCCTACCCCCACGGAATTTGACTGCTTCTCTTGCTTATAAAGATTGTCCTAAAATCATTTACTAAAAATGCCGAGTTTACACGTCTAGGCAAAACAAACACCATATGCAAGCACTCGTTTTCCGTAAAAGCATTTTATTGGCATGTAAAAGAATAAAATTATGTTTAGCACTTCAAGAACATGTTTCGGTAATGTCTAATGTTTATATGATTAACTGGAGCTGTAGTATTACAGTCAATGTCTAGAGAGTATTTTATAGGCGAAACATTTAAAAAAAAAATTTCGGTAATGCCTTGACTGTTAAATAGCTTTATTTTGCTTTCAATTATAATAAAATTTTGAAAAGGTTGTTAGGCTTTACCATAATTTGGGACAAGGCACTGACCTACCTCAAGGGATAGGTAGCTACTATAAATATAAAAATATTTTCATTTTTGCAGAGCTTTGTCATTGCTATTCGTTAATTGCCGATAATTGGTCATAAGATAAAGAACGTAAACTCTTCTCAGTTAGCGGTTAACATTTAGCTATAACTTTAAATAAAATACTTCGAAAAGCAAGGACCATAAAAGCTCTGCAAAGCTAGCAAAAACAGTCCATAAACCTTTCAAAAGCTTCTAAAGTTTTAATCGACATGGAGATGGCTTTCATTTTTATTTTGAATGGCAGTTTTTTTGCAAAGCTATTGAAACTGTATGTCAGAGAAATGCTTGATTTGGTATATAGCAGCTGCGTTCCACTATTCATCTTCCATTTCTACTCCTATAAAGTTGGATTTTCCGAGAAAAAATAAATTGTGTTGCTATAATATAAGTATGTGCAATAACTTCAAAAAGGGTGTCTCTGCAAGAATTAACTCTACGAATGTGCAAATATTAACCGCCCCGTTCTCTCTTGTACCTTATCTCATCGTTAAGATTCGAAAAGGTTAAGAAATTTTTAATCAGATATATTCTTATGTATTCATAAAAATTTGAAACTATGACTTGCTTAAATTATTAGAAAAAATTGCTGCAGTGACATTGGGGTAAAAGTCTTGCTTTTTGCTCCAAGAGTTTCACCACTATCAACAAAACCCGAGCCAGGGCATTCCTTGAGAGACCATCGTAAGTAACGGAAATTTTTTCGTTATCTATTTTATTAGTCCAATCTTACTTTCCATAATGCTACAGGGTTGTATTTGTAAATAAACTGAACGAAAGTCAAGATTCATCAAAACTATTCGTCCCTTGGATTCGAAACAAATCTTGACCAATAGCTTAATTATAAAATTGATAATTGTGATCGCTAACCAGCGGACATACTATACCGCATCGGTAACACTATAATGTATGCTGCAAAACAATGGTAGCGCCTTGACGAAGATTATAAAACACTAGGTTATTATGCAAGGTGTAATAAGTTTATCTCCAAGCTGGTTTTGATAACCGATTGCCATTGCGACGACACAAAAAACTCTCTTACTTTTTTACTGAAATCAATGTATATTAAAAGTTGATCAATCGTAAGAAGCTATACGAAATGAACATTAATGCAAAGCAAAGTAATTCACGGGATAAGTGCAATTAAAAATGCAACCATATCTAAAGCCAAGTACTTTTATTGTCGACAAGGGTCTTGCCATTCATTTCCTCATTGCTACCCGCTTCTAATGAATTCTTAAAATGAATGAATACTGGATATTTAGGAGAAAATTCTTCAAGGACTTCATATTTCTGCGCTTCGTCTTCTCCTACTTTAACCTTTAATATATGATTGGCTTCCACATACTCTGGTTGAGCTAAAATCAAACATAAAGAAAAACGAAAATCTCTCAGTAATAATTTCAAAGTCTACAGTCAATAATAAAATACTTACGCATTCCATGATTGGATAACCAAGGTAGAATAGTAATGTCTCGGATTTCAGTAGCATACGGCTGTTGTTGTATTACATTCGGTAAAGGTACTGTACCAATCGTTAATGGTGCTTGCAATAATTGGTTCTTTTGCAGGCCTTTAATTTTAATTTCCACTTCCAAAACATACGAGATTTGTATTAAATTGCATGCAGTATAAAGGCAGCTCGGAGGCGTGGCTACTATAGGCAGTAAATAATTGAACGTTCGAAGGTTTGGTTTCGCCTCAAAATTATCTCGAAGTTTTGTTATAACAATTCGTTCGTTACGTAGTTTCTTATTCGGATATTGGGCGATATAATCCACTAGCATCATCAGACATAATTGAATTTCTCCAACAGGCACGTCCCCCTGATGATTAAGATACATTTCAATTGGTATTTGCTGACCACAAACAAAACTGGAACGAGGTAAATGTAAATCAATTTTCAATGGCTGAACTTTAATGCAATTGCATAGATGAGATTTTTCTGAAGTCAAATTTATCGGCATCTGAAAGTATAATTTGAAAAGGTTCAAAAACGTTGAAGAAGAGAAAGAAAAATATATTCAATGAAACGGGTAAGAAAGAACAGTAGCGTGCCTACCCTCTCCAAAGTCTTTGTTGGTTGTCCGAGCCAAAGCATCAAAGCATCAATATACCAAATTTGCAGGCTGTAGGCTGAACACAAGGTAGCAGGGCAGACAGACGAACAGATAGACGGATGAGCGAATTACTTTCTGAACCAATCAGTGTCACGATAAGTGACTGTTTCTCATATTTTCCTGGTTGTTTCATATATTCGCCAAACCTTAGTATCACCATTTAGAACAAGTGGTGTGGGGCATAAAAAATTATAGGATAGGAATGACGGATCAACGTATACCACCACCCTTCCTCAAAAACACATTTTGCAAGAATGTACACTCAACTAATGGTGTCTTCAATTCGGGTATTTTAGGTAACAGCCAAGACGAATACAATCCGATCGAGATTAAGGACGAAGTGACAATAAAAGTTTAAGATAAGCTTTTCTTTCCTTTTTGGCTTTTGTGAGAAATCAAAAGCTAATCGGATAACACTATTCGGGAAAGTTATTAATCCTTCATTAAGGGATTTGAAGAAGGCTAGTCTTTCGAAAAATCATAAGAAATGGGCACGCTGCTCTCTCGCCAGCAATATATCTGATATAAAAGTTTAACAATGAAAACTTTTATCACATCACTCCAGAATCAAATCTGCACGCGGCCGAGTGAACAATGTCGGCGAAAGTCGCCCAAAGCAGCCACATTAACGCAAACTGCAATTTTTAAAGTAATTGTTGGAACCTCATGATACTTTGACTGGTATCTCTTGAAAGCTGGTACTTTCCACAAATTATAAGACTCAATACGGCTACTGTGTATGTCTTAGACTGCAGACTTATTGAGTGATCTGCTATTTAGTGTACACATCTATAGATAACGAAATGGGACCTACCTGGGAAATTTAAAATTATTGATTGTTGTGTAATTAGCCGGTATTTGAATGAGAAAATTCAATTTTGGACTAAAAAAAAGTCAACTTTTGTTGAGAAATATGATTAAAATAACTTTTCGAGAACCCACGCCCTATTTCGCTAGTGAACATTTTCTTCAAAGTTTATAAAAACTTCGAATGAAAAAAATGGAAGAAAATTCTTGGCGAGTCTCGTGGAAAACGCGTTTTACTTTCCAAGCATTCTTGACAGTCTTACAGAACTACACTTCGAAATTACATTGTTTTACCGAATCAAAATAGTCATCTTCTTAAATCGAATCTTAGTGAAGGGATCACTTAAGTCCAAAAATGAAAAGTGGATTTACGATCCTTTCCCCTGCTTAATATACTTTTCACTCGGTACTCTTGAAAGCTCATGTCAAGCCGAAGCTGTAATTCACTTACTTTCACCAATGGCGTTTCATAATTTAAATCCAATACTTTTAAGACCGTAAATGCTTTATTAAAAGTCTGATTCCTTTTCCAAGGTCTTAACACGACTACTTTAATCACGTAACGTATATGGCCGTAAGCACCCTCGAACGATGAGGGACAATTGTTAGGTATGTGACATGTAAAATTGTATGTATGAATACCGGGCTCTATTGTAATGATTTCACCTAAGTATTGAAAAGAAAAAAGAGGTTTTGAAAAAATACATTAAAGTTGTAGTAAGTAAACGCACTTTCATCAGCTGCTTGCAATAGGTAAGTATTTGTGTCTAAGTATAAACGCTGGTCATGATAAGTAATTATTTGGGAAGATTTATCGATTTCAGTCCATTGAGTACTAGCGCAACCAAGAACCTTTAAAACAACCGCTGAATTAAGAGAAAGAAAAATAAAACAAAATAAATTTTTTTTCTCTTTTTGATTAATTTCTTATAATTCTTACCCTTGATCTTTTTCACTTTATTCACACTGAGAGTAAACCTGCCCGTTAATTTTTGACCGGAGAAGTAAACACCGTGCGGATTATTATCAAATTCGATATCGCAGTTTATCACCATTTTATTTAATTTAATATGAATTTAATTAAAAAAATTTTTTTTTTTTTTTTTAATAAATTTCTGTATATTTATTGATATGTTGTCAACTTCTATAGAGAATCACTTGTGTGCGCTTCAACAAATAGGTGTGAAAGCCTTCTTTTTTTATTTTTTTAGGAAAAAAAAAAGTTGTTAACTCAATTTCTAAATGCTATCAGCTCTGCTTGTCTTGCTCTCTTATTGATAACAAAAGCAATGCAAACGAACTTTTTTTGTCTTCTCATACGCTGCGCTCTCTTTTGGTAAATATTGTTAAGCATTGAAACAGATGGAAGTGTTTAAAACCATGAAATTTACTTTTATACAGATATATACGTATATATATATATATATACGTTTACATATGTTTAACTTAAGTTCGTTATCTTCCTATATTTACTAGAAAGTTATAAATTTTTTTCTAAAAAAAATATACAAAGTGTTCCAAGTCGAAAAATGTCAGTAATCGTTGACTCGCTTTCAATCTTAACTGGCAATTTGCTCTTTCAATGGTCGATGACATTACCGCCACTAGTGGCCGTCATAGAGTTGAAGTTTGGAAACGATCACCAGGACAGAGGCAGAGCTAAGGTAACATAAGAAATTCGTAAACAGGAGTTTGCCCATAAAGTATTTAACCAAACCTTTTGAACACTATAATGGCCTACCGTTCATCACTTACCAGGTAACTGCGTCGACCTCTTTGGAAGATGTGCACTTAAATGTGTGCATCGCAAAAATTTATATCACTTCCAATGTTTCATATCTGTTACTCGACCTTGATGTATGCTCTCTAAGTTGCAGGATTGTCTTGCTAATTGAAGCGAGCAAGATGTCGTTTGCATTTGACTTATAGGCCGAAGCGGTATCTTTTCATAAAGCTTACTATGGGCAGATGTTAAACTTTCAGCGGTATCTCTACCTCCTGTAGGCCTCGGATAATCAGGATAATCAAGACATTTTAAAAAATCTGAAAACAATCACTTTACAACGGCAAAGCAAAACACGTAACTCTTTCTCACTGATTTTCTTAACTAAAATAAAACTTTTATTCTTTTCAATGAAGCACACTAAATAAGCCGATAGCCTGTGTTGCTAGTGCTCAATGTCTTTTTTTAGTCTAAGAATTCAATTCATTAGTCTAAAATTAAAATAATAATAATAATTGTAATTTAATAAAGAAATTTAAAACTTAAGCCATCATCTTATCGCTAAATAAAAAAAAAAATTAAAAAACTATTACGTATGACTAGAACTTCTTTTTATAATTTAACACTTACTTACTACTATAAAAAGGATATTTATTTAACGCACAATTGTGCGTACAAAATTTAAATCATAAAAATGCAATTTATTTAGTAGCCATAACCTAAAAAAAAAGCCTAAAAAAATGGTGGAAACGTGATTACCGAAAGATCAAATTTATTTTATTATTTTACATTTGCTTTTCAAGAATTTTGCTACAATTATGAAAACAAATGTTGTTGTTAGATATATGCTGCCCGGCAAGGAGCAGGTTCACGTTCGCGTAAGTTTCACAGTTATTCGAATTAAGACATTTGCGTACAGCATATTCCCAACGATTGTACAGTAAATTACAGCAATTACTGTTTTGCGTGATTGTGGGACTAAAACCGTCTGAAGGCGGCATGTAAGCTAATTCTCGGGTTCTGTTTTGATATCTACACTAGTTTCCGGTGCTTATGGTTTTATAACAATTTTTAAACTCCTTGCTTGATTCAAATATATTCCGTGCAATTTTTCTGCCTCTAAGACGAACACGTAACTATTTTTTAGTAAATTCGCACATTTGATGCACAATCTTTATGGTATGAAAGTTTCTTCCCTATCTGAAGCTTTTGCAGAAAACATCAACGCGAACGCATAGGATTCACATAAGAAAATACATACGTTACTTGTTAGCAAACAAGTTAAAAGCTCTCCATAAGTCTTTGAAAATTCTGTCTCCAGAGATATATAGGCTGACACAAGGAATACCGACTTACTTTCGCTTTAGTACATGTCCTGCATTTATTATTAGCTGGTTTTGATTGCATAGCAGGTGAAGATGAGTCCATTTTTCCGCTACTAGTATTGTTTACAGTTTTCTTTTCGTTTTTCATTCGAATTCGCTATACCACCCATTGATTTGTAAACAATTGCATCAATTCCATGTTTGCAGTGCTGAATTCTGATTATTTTGCATACTAATAAATTAGCTTGCCTTTTAATGTTTCCACGAAGTTCCTTTTTCGGCCTAAGTGATTTGGTTTTGCTTTATAAAAAATTTATATTTCAGGTAGTAAATAGCTCATCTTTATAGCTGTGTTTCTTTGATCAATTTTTTTTTAACAATTTATAAGTTTTTTTTTTTTTTTTTTTTTTGTTACATATGTGTGTAAATTACGCAGTGCTCTTATAATTTTAGCTTAGTAATAAAGCATCAAAAAACTAGCCAATGTAACGCAGACTATTAAAGAGTTCGTCCTATACGAATAGGTTAATAAGTTTTGCATTTTGCTGTCTAGGCCACAAAACAGAAATCCGCTGTAAAATTTTTAGAGGTATCCCTGACTGAAGAACAGGATTCCAAGGATTGAATAACTTCCGAAAAATTGTTATATGGTATATACATATCTCTTCTTCTTCTTCTTCGTCTTCTGCAATTCAGCAAATCAAGAACAGATGACTCATTGTGTGGATTAGGAAAATAACGACTTTAACCTGCTATGGACTTTAAAATTTGAAAAAAATCCTAACACGAGTCGCACGCGCCGCGTTTGCTTAGCTTGTAAAGGGTTTGCCCTTGTAATTATCACTATCATTCACAATAGTTTGAAATTTTCTCAGTTTCGATGAATACTTTGGAAACGTTTAGAGCATTACTACAATTTAAGAATCGATGCGTAATATATTTGGGGATAATACCGAGTTGCGAAAAGCGACTAAATGGAACAAGTCATAAATACAGGCAGGCATAGAAATGTTATGAAACAAGTCATTTAAAATGTGGTCGAAAAAGGAAATTTTGAAAATATTTTATTCTCACAAGTCAAATATAATAATTATATATATATATATATATATACGGTGCACGAAAATTTTTTTTGAATTAAGTTTCTAAGTATGAGTTTTATAGGTACCCGACTGGTGATTGATGAACAAAGTTCTAGCCATTTGAAGCTGTTGGCGCAATAAATTTCGAATGCAACTCAAATCGCGGACGGTTCTATGCAGATACTTTTTACTCCGCAGCAAAGCGGTGTGTATTTTGCATAAGCGACGCTGTTGAGTATGAACGATGCGACGATTGGCGCGTCTACGCGATCTACTTCGGCCGGTACTTGGCGCTGGATCCTCAGCGGGACGCGAATTTGGTGCATTTACATGGTTTTGATAACCATTCAGTGTCGACGATTGCGAAAGGGGTGCCCTAGAGGTGGGCGCGGGATCAACAGAAAAGACAATGGACATATTGTTGTTGTTATTGCTGATCATGCTGCTGTTGCTGCTCATATTGCTGCTGCTGGTGCCATCGCCGCCGCTGTTGCTATCGTTATTATTGTTATTGGCGACATTATAGCTTTGCCCTAAATGAACGAAACGAAAAAAGTGAAAATTAATAATTAAAAAACTAATTTTCTAGTTAAATAAATAAGTAAATGTCTATTATAACGGTGCGTGCGTCAAAGGATTGTAGAGTTTTTTTTATTTCATTTGCAGCAAATTCATGTCGATATCTTGCATAACTGATACACTGTAAGCTTTTTTCCATTCCTTTGCTCGCTTGAATCCATTATGCCCACAAATACAAATACATTTGATAGCCAGTAATTACATGTTCATATCCGACAATCAATCTATAGATGACATATGGAGAGACATATATCTTTTTACAGGACATTTGGTGCGTATTTCTAGCTTATGCTCCAGAAATGGATATAAAAATGCAAGAGAGAAAGAGAAAACTGTTAACATTTAAAAACAAACCAGCATCAATTTGCCTTGAGGCGTCCCCTAAAGCTGGCATGCCTGGTTGAACATGATATGCCCTTAACAACGTCGCAGCACTAGAATTCCTACTTTGCATACTTTGCATTATTCGCCCAGAGTCAGAAGAAGCTGTCAACGAGTTTTCGGCTTCGACAGTCTCACTGTCCGAATTGTAACCGGGAGAAGGCATGGAATTTTTTTTGTTTGTTGGTTGGTCAGCAAAACAATATACAAATTAAAATTTTCTATCTTTAGCGTTATATTCAAAAAATAAAAAATCTATATAAAATGTATATTAAAAAAAAAAAAAAA